ATGCGCCGTTTCACGTCCACGCAATGTTGGTCGTGTGCACCGATTTTCTGAGTGGAGTGGGCACCGCCTCATCTCGAGGGCTTGATATCGAGCCATTGTCGCAGGTGTGCCTGCCTGGCACACCTCCAAGCTCTGGCAATGCCCGAGCTTGGATTCGGAACCTATCCGAATACGTATACGCCAAGATTTTGGACCTTATGTACCATTGTACCCTTTGTTCAATGTTGTCAGTCCAACGCGATTGGTTTATGTAAAAACCTGTCGTCGTCGAGTTATCAGAAGATTTAATTTGTGGATGGACCACAGTGTACTAGTATAGGATTTAGGGGATGCATTTATGGAAATTACAGTCATCTTTGCGCCAGCGTCGCTTGACTGGTGGCGTGTATTGGCTCAAAGGCAGAGCGCAAAACCAACAACCGTTGCCGCTACCGTCAACGCTGCCGTTGGCGCTGCCGACGTGGCCATCGTTGGCGCCGGCACTGTCATCGGAGCACCTGGCATCGCTGTAGCTTTCGACATTGGAGTCGCGGGTGCCGGAGCGACAGTCGCGTCTGTCGGTGGCGACGTCAGTTGCACGAACGGAGCATACTCGAGGCCGATCATTGCCTTGATTTCGTCGCAGTTGGCAGCCTTGAGCGACGCTTGAAAGTCTGCGTAGACAGCCGCACAAGCCGGCGTGGAAGCAAAGAGCTGCATCTGCGCCGATGTCGGCGCTGGACTCACCTGCGTGAGCGATTTGTAGAAATCGTACGGCGCCGTCGCCTTTTGGCAAGCCGCCCACTGCGCATCGTTGGTGATCGTCGCTAGCATTTGGTCTTTCTGCGTCGACGTGCACGGCGTCGCGGTGATGGCCACCGTCATCAGGAGCAAAGCGCGGACGATCGAAAGCATACTGTCAAAGTCGTTGGGGGACAACTCTGTAGGAAGAGAGCAAAAAGCAAACTAAACTATTTCCTGTGTTATCAGCGCCAAGCCGACAGGCCAATGCTGGGGGTGTCCCGTCTCTCACTAGCTGACAAGTACAAAAAGGACACGCATCAAGTGACTTGCATTCCTGCATTGTATTGACGAGACGCGGGCTGGAATGAGCCTGCCGTTGCGCTGTCAAGCCCCCAACATCGTACATGTCGTCGTAACCAAATAAACTATCAGCCCCGTCTCTTAAACCCCTTCAAAGCGTTGAAGGGTTATAAGGTTTTAGGAGACGGGGCTGATAATGTACTTGGTTTAGCCGATTTGTCGGTGCAGCATTCGACTGCAATCACCCGTCGTCAGTGACCCGTTGTGATATCTATCCGGATCCGGATATTTGAGATACGACATGACACCAAAGCCACTGCGGACTGCCTGTGCACATCGTAGTACCAAGGCCTTTGACTGTACGCCTTGGTAGTACAAGTAAGTAGTGTACACTCATACATGGAACCTAAATCCATAAATTTCTGCCACAAATTGCGCAAAAACGCTCCAGTTGGCACTCTCTACAAGCACCGGATAGCGAAGGTATGTGAGCACGCCGTCTCGTACCGGGACGACACCCAACGTCTCCCGATGCCACTCACTTTTCATTG